GTGTGTGTGTGTGTGTGTGTGTGTGTGTGTGTGTGTGTGTGTGTGTGTGTGTGTGTGTGTGTGTGTGTGTGTGTGTGTGTGTGTGTGTGTGTGTGTGTGTGTGTGTGTGTGTGTGTGTGTGTGTGTGTGTGTGTGTGTGTGTGTGTGTGTGTGTGTGTGTGTGTGTGTGTGTGTGTGTGTGTGTGTGTGTGTGTGTGTGTGTGTGTGTGTGTGTGTGTGTGTGTGTGTGTGTGTGTGTGTGTGTGTGTGTGTGTGTGTGTGTGTGTGTGTGTGTGTGTGTGTGTGTGTGTGTGTGTGTGTGTGTGTGTGTGTGTGTGTGTGTGTGTGTGTGTGTGTGTGTGTGTGTGTGTGTGTGTGTGTGTGTGTGTGTGTGTGTGTGTGTGTGTGTGTGTGTGTGTGTGTGTGTGTGTGTGTGTGTGTGTGTGTGTGTGTGTGTGTGTGTGTGTGTGTGTGTGTGTGTGTGTGTGTGTGTGTGTGTGTGTGTGTGTGTGTGTGTGTGTGTGTGTGTGTGTGTGTGTGTGTGTGTGTGTGTGTGTGTGTGTGTGTGTGTGTGTGTGTGTGTGTGTGTGTGTGTGTGTGTGTGTGTGTGTGTGTGTGTGTGTGTGTGTGTGTGTGTGTGTGTGTGTGTGTGTGTGTGTGTGTGTGTGTGTGTGTGTGTGTGTGTGTGTGTGTGTGTGTGTGTGTGTGTGTGTGTGTGTGTGTGTGTGTGTGTGTGTGTGTGTGTGTGTGTGTGTGTGTGTGTGTGTGTGTGTGTGTGTGTGTGTGTGTGTGTGTGTGTGTGTGTGTGTGTGTGTGTGTGTGTGTGTGTGTGTGTGTGTGTGTGTGTGTGTGTGTGTGTGTGTGTGTGTGTGTGTGTGTGTGTGTGTGTGTGTGTGTGTGTGTGTGTGTGTGTGTGTGTGTGTGTGTGTGTGTGTGTGTGTGTGTGAATAACCTCCAGGAAAAGCGCAGAAAAGAAAGGGGAAAAAAAAGGATTGAGTTTACCGGAATGTCATCAGCCCGAGAATACATATCCGATGTCAAGGTAAATCTCACTGATTTGGCGAGCAGTTGGTTATCGAATTAGATCCACTGAGAGAGAAAAAAAGTGTGATAATGGAGAAAAGATTTTCAAGGTTTCATGATTTTCTCAACGTATAAAATTGTATTTGCATTTACTTTATTCTCCGTTAGATTTATTGTCCAGGTATTGGCGGTTTTTTTTTTTTTTTTTTTTTTATTTTTTTTTTTTTTTGTGGACACGTTTTCTTGTTAATATGTGTAATACCATCATTTTCCTCTATCTTTCCCTCTTTCCAAAAATCAGGGTAGATGGGACTAGGCAGAAGTACGATGGTCAAAATAAGGAAAACACATTTCAACCTTAATGTCTGTTATGGGTATTTTTATCCGCTTTCTGTCCATATGCCTCTCGCGGTCTTTTCTGTTCCGTATGTGTGTGTGTGTGTGTGTGTGTGTGTGTGTGTATGTGTGTGTGTGTGTGTGTGTGTGTGTGTGTGTGTGTGTGTGTGTGTGTGTGTGTGTGTGTGTGTGTGTGTGTGTGTGTGTGTGCGCGCGCGCACATGCATTCGTATGTGAGTCCTTGTTTGCGCGTGGTATGAGTGAATGAGTGCGTTTTTTTCGAATATAAATAAATCAGATTATCGAATATACGCGAGGCATATGAAAAAGAAAGGAGAGACAAAGAAAAATGATAGAAAAGACTAAAAGGGGAAATAGGAGATCGAAGCATGTGCTCTTGGGACTCGGGGAAAAGCGACCTCAGGTAAGAAAACTGGGGCGTGTTCTGTGTAATTGGTTCCGTGACAGGTGAAGAAGGTAGGGTTATTAGCCGTGCCTCAACTTCTCTCTATCCTCTTCCGTCTACCGTTTCTTCTTCCGCTTTCTTATGTTTCGTCTTCCTCTTTGTCTTTTTGTCTGTCTGTCTGTCTGTCTGTCTCTCTCTCTCTCTCTCTCTCTCTCTTTATATGTTTGTCAGTCTTAATTTCTGTCTCCCACTTTTTTCTCCTTTTCCCGTATCACTATTCTATTTCATGTTCTTCGTCACTCCTTTCCCTCCTTCCTTTTCTATTTAATCCATTTTTTTTTCTTTTTTATCTCCTTCAAATAATTTGTTATATTTGTTGTTATTGCCATTTTCTTTGAAAAAAAGGAAATATTCAACATTATATTTTGTCCCCATCTTTGCAATATTCATATTTATATTGTCTTTGCTAAAATATATCTCACTAAATACGTAGGTAGCTGCCCTACTTTACCCATTCCTAAATCCGTAGAAGTCGTGGTATTACCATTATTATTATGATTATCTTTAGTATGATAATTCACATTGCTTCCTTGGTCATAATTAGGTCGTTCCAACTTGTTCGAAACATCGATGTGTACCGAGTTTCACAATGAAGCTAATCATTTCCGTGAAGATAAATTCGTTGGTAATTGCCGAATTCCCTACAGTATATAACTGCTTTCATAAATCAGATAAGTTGAATGATGAATAAGTGGATCAGCTATGTAATAAACCAAGTTAGTGGAGGATGAAGGACTAGTTAAACTTGACCATGATTGATTAATATTCGTGAAAAAGTTTTCTACTCCTAGGGGCAGCTCTGACGAACACCGAGTTGTAAATATTTTAACTATAGGACGTGATGTTAAACGTAACTTGCAGCCTAATACGGAGGTAAGTCAGTGAGACTCTCTATCAAGGACAAACAGTTTGACCAGGTGCATTGCCTTGCTTGGAACAAAGCTGTTAACGCTGTTGAAATTAAGTTGCTAGTCTGTTATTGTTTCCAGTTAAAGGAATTCCGGACAGGTGGTGGCAACCTAAGTGGTCTGGCCCTCTGTGTTTAAACATCGAACAGGCAGGAACAGGAACGTTAACGATTATAAGTTCATGATTATCACTGTGATAAAGTCTAAAGTGTTAAGTTAAAAACCGAGTTAAGCAACGGATCTGGAGGCATCTTGTGATATTGTTTAGAAAGGAACGACCTTCGTAATGTCGAGTGATGTGTAATAAAATCATCAAGGACTAAATACAGCTTAGAAAACTTGTTAATAACCATATCTTTCACTGATTATTAATTCTTCCATTGGCTTTCGAATAAAACATCCCTGTTAAAGATTGTGAGATGAGTATATTGTTGTTAAAGTTATGATTATCATTATTATCGTTCGCTTAGTGTTGATGTAAAGAAAAAAAATATTGCAGTATCAATATTGTTGTTAGTGGTATTAATGATAATGGTAGTGATGGTGGAAGTAGGTAGTAGTAGAAGTAGTAGTAGTAGTAGTAATAGTTGTGGTAGTAGTGGTAGTAATAGTATTGTCATCATTGTAACATTATAGTTATCAATATCATTAGAAGTAGTAGGAATTGTATAATAGTACACACCTTATTAGGCCTTATTATCTTTACTACCTTATAAATAGTCGGAATAGTAGTAGGCTACAATCATCATCATTACAGATATCATTAATCATTATTGTTATTTTTGTAATTGCTGTTGAAGTCATATACTACATTTTTTTTCTTGTAACTGTTATCCTTTTTAATTTTCGTTATATTATCATTATCACCATTAGTAGTATTAGTGGTGGTAATATTGATATTTCTTTCTTTATGATGATTACCGTTATGATAATAATAATGATAAGGATAATTATTATCATTATTGCTATCATTATCATTATCAGTATTACCATTATTATAATCATATTTATAATTACAATGATAATAATGATAATAATAATTATTATGATAATAGTTATTAATAGGATCATATTAGCATTGTTATTATTGGTATTATGACTATTATAGTTCTTATTTCATTATCATCATTATTACGGTTCTTATAATAATAAAATGGTTGTTATTGATGTTGTTTATGCTACTGTTGTTAGAGCTGTAATCATTCCTAATACTATTACAATTTATACTACTACTACTACTACTACTACTACTACTATTACTACTACTACTACTACTACTACTCTTACTACTCTTTTATCATTATTATTAATTTTCTGGAATACCGTCGTATAACCGATCGCGACGATTTTGGTATCGATGAATTGCTCTCCCTTTGTACTATCCAAATATATCGAAATTATGCTTCGGACCCCCCCCCCACCCCCACCCAACA